CCATGGATCTGGGATCTCGGTCGGCTGGGCCAGAGGGTGAGCACATACATGTCGCCTTATCGGCAGTGAATGATACTCACCATCGCATAACCCGGTACTCCAGGTATGAATCGGAACTTTCCCCTGCGGCACGGACGGCCGATGGGGCCCACACAGGCTGGGAATCGGAGTAAGTACGACTCCACGGTCTGATGCGTTTTGCGCACCTCTCCCGAAGCGATCTGAGTGGTGGCGCGTCGGGATGAGATGCACGCCCGGCTAGATTGGTGAGCCCAATGTTGAAGACAGTGACACAACAGAGGACTCACTGTGCATGATCTGACAAAATATGCGCCACCCCTCATGCACCGCATCAACGATCTTTTTCCATCCCTCCATCTGCTCAGTGTTCCCAATTCCCGGCGAGTCCTGCCATTCCGTCCTGCAACTCCGTAGAATCCTTGGCACGGTGATGGATGGGAGTCTAGAACGCACCCTGCTGCTGACGAGACTCGCCTCGGTCACGATCAGCCCCGCGCCGCCTCGTACAGCCGCACGTGTACTCCCGCATGATGTCGTTGGGAACGGTGTCCGACGACCTATTACGTGCCATCGGCGCCATAACTGGTGCCCACTGTCAGTGATGCTGGATCGGCACTGGACAAGAGGGTGCGCACAAATTCGGTTAGGCATGGACGCTGCCGAGCGTCACCGGCGTGAAGAGCTTGGGAGTAGTCGAAGAAGTAGTGCCGGAGGCCATTGCTGCTGTAGATGAGACTGCCAGGGTTCAGCCGCCGTCTTTTATATGCCGCGCCTTCCATTCGCGTTCACGGTGGCGCAGGACGGCCCGCAATTCGCCAGGAAAAAACGCAGGCAAAGCTAACCGGTAGGAGGAGGCGCATGGTCGAATCGTGTCGTGTCATGCTCTTTTCCGTAGGGCTGGTGTCGAGAAATATAGAGTGCTCGTGTCACCGAGCCTTGTCGAAGGATGACACATCGATGCCACTTCGCCCTTTTCGGCAGCATCATGATACCAATAGTAATAGCCTTCTTGTAGGCTTCCATACATGACATCAGCACGACAACAAGACGTGGCTGTGCCCATGGCTGAGGATGACAAGTTCGGGAACAAACTCAAGTTCATCAACGCAGTGCGTCTGATGCTGCGTCAGCTCGATTGACTCATCAAGGCTACCTGAAGACATGCCTTTGAGACTACGTGGATGGCACTCCGAAAGCACAGAGGGCACGTCATTCTAATACCCGTAGATATTATCCGCGGTACCCCGCTGCATACGAGGCAGCCTCGTTCAGAGTTAGAAAACCGATGCTTGGTTCATATTGGCCGAAGTTCTTACAACGGAGTCCTCAGGGCCACGAGGAGACTCAGGAGAGCTCCCCAGAGTATTCCGAGTCCCGGCAAACATCATTCGATTTACGTTTGATTAGAGGCTAGAGCTAACAAAGGTCTATATGATTGGCATCTTTTCTCTTCGGCTGGGGTGAATTTCTTTCTTTCTACAGATCGGGTGGTCCCACTGTACATGGATAGTATAGAAATCACGCACACTTTTGCGTCCAACCGCACCCACTTCGGCTTCCAGCGGTGGTAATATAGGATCTCATCAACGAGCAGCTGACTGATGCAAGTGCCTGGCGGTACAGCAGTGAATGGTATGTCTGTTTTTCGGCGGATAGAATCGGTAGCTTCGGCGGCAGTTGTGATTACTCCGAGGTACCACCGATACCACATGTAGATGAACGATGCACTGATTTTTTCTAGAAGAAAGATAATCAACAGCCTCTGCTGTCTGCTTGTCACTTTCCGGCGGGGAGTGCGTATTTTCGGCTGACGACCGATCCATCAATCGGAACAGTCCGTCGGTAGTGACAGTAAGCACTACGCCCATCGAACATCGCCGAGATTTTATCGGATCTATGCTAGAGCATGTGAGCCAAGGCTCACAAATCATTACAAATCGTGCCACTATCGCACCGGTTCCATGAGTGGCCCACTTAGTTTCTCCCATCCTATCTCATTTGAGCTGCGACCAGATTTCAAGATCAAAGTAGGGAAGCCGCAGTAGTGCAAATCCCATACGGTTCCCTCATGGGATTTTGTCCCTTTCAATCTCGGTCTTCGCTAGTTGTAACCACTCAGATATTAATTGGGTTCTGTATCAAACAATCATCTCCCAGGTAGCTGCCTGCGCTCTAAAACTCTTGCGGTTTGCAAAAATGGTAATCAGATATCCACATGATCTCTCAGAGCTCTCCGAGTCTCTTGCGCCCATTTTTTCATGTAGTCTTGGGAACATCCACTTTTATTGTGTCAAGAAATATAGGAAGAATCTCCTGATTGTGGGTGCTGGTGCTGAATATCAGCACCGCCGAAACACGAGGAGAATCACGAAAAATCTAAGGGTGTCATGTGGGTCCCGTGATCCTTTTTGTTTCTCCGGCAATAAAGCCCTCGCCTACCCGTTTGTGTATGTACAGGCTTCGATACAGGACGGGGGGAAGCGTCACAGAGCATGTTTGCACAGGCTTGCAGTCCTCGTGATCGTTTCTCAATGCCGTTCCCACGCCCTGAATCGCCGGGCTCGCATTCCACTCGCATCCATGGCCCTCCCCACCAACGGGCGCGTCATCATCGAGACCACGGTCGGGGACATCGACATCGAGCTCTGGTCCAAAGTCAGTATGCCTCCCGTGCACTCGTGGGCGCCTTGTCACGAGATCCCGCCAGGAAACGCCAAGACATGCCGCAACTTCATCCAACTGGCGCTGGAGGGTCTGTGAGTCGACTCCCATCTCCGGACCTGTGGTTCATCGTCCTGGTAGGGTACTACGACAATGTCATATTCCACCGGTACGCGGGCGTGTTCGACTGTGGAGCCGCGTTTGACGCCGCTGCAGTGTCGTTCCCGGATTCTGGTGCAGACGGGAGATAAGACGGGCACGGGTGCCGTGGGGATCCATATACGGGGGTGGTATGTGTGTATGTGCGTGCGGCAGTCCGTGGTTCTATCCATTTTCGGGCACAGAGCCCTTCGAGGATGAGATCCACCCGCGGCTGCGCTTCCCGCATCGAGGACTCGTAGCTATGGCGAACAACGGTACCAAGAACTCGAACGACTCGAATTCATCATCACGCTCGGTGAGGAGGATCACGGCGCGCTGCCTGGGTCAATCGCTGAGGGCTGGATTGGATCGCAGACCGCGCGGACGAATTGCACGGCAAGCACACCTTATTGGACGCTGCGTGGGAGACACGGTATACAGTTCGTCTCTCTTTGCACAGTGAAAGACTTTTCGCTAATCTACCGACTGTGTAGATGTCATGAAAATTGGGGAATTGGGTACGTCCTTGCAGAGCAGGATCATCATCATTCGACTCAACGCGGATACCAGAACTGGGGGAGGAAGGCGTCCAGTTTAGTAAGTGATTTGCTCTATGCTCCTTTCCTCTCTCATCAGTGCCAGCCTCCGAAGATCAAAACTGTTCGCATAGTAGACAACCCTTTCGACGATATAATCCTCGAATAACAGCAGCCGAAAAGCGCGCTCAACAAGGGCCCGAGAGCAGTCTCAAAGGGAGCGCGAAGAAAGAGCGGAGCGTCGCAGAGGTGCTAAGAAGTCTGCGGGTTTCCAATGGATCCGCTTTCACGATCTGACGAGCAAGACAGGAACGTGCAGCTGCTCAGCTTTGGCGCGGACGAAGACGACGCTCCGGTACTGATCAAGAAGAAAGAAATCGTGCGGCCGGACTGTGCGCATTGGAATCCTATTCTCCCAAGAACGCTGATTTACGCGCTGCAGTGGTGGACGACCCCAATGCGGCAATTGCCGTCCCTGACTTCGTCGCTGTCAAGCCTTCTTCGAAAGTTATCGAGCGGGGCGAAACCCACGAAGAAGGACGAAGACATCACCAAGATCCGTGCCAAACATGCGGAGGAAGCGGCATCTTCAGCGTCTGTCGGCATCATCCCCTAGCTATCCTCCGCTCACAACCTGTCTGTACTGTAGTAACACGCGCAAGAACGAGATCGCCAAGATGGAAGCCGACATTCGGTCCCTTGCGAAGCGCCGGGGCGGTGCCGACTCCGACGACGAGGAACTGGCTGCATTGCGCAAGCCGAAGAAGGTCAAGTCGTATCTGGAGGAGGAGATGGCGAGTACTCTAAGGGCAAAGGCCTCCATCGAAAAGGCGCGCGCCGGGACGAGTCGGACGTCCTCGCGGCGCTCAATTCGTTCCGCGGCAAACTTTCCCGCGCAGAGGACGAGCCCACCGCCATGGACGTAGACATGGATGCGGTGCTGGTGCGGACGAAGCGGGGAAACCTGCCGCGGTGCGGGGGAGGAAGATCCCGGGATCGAAGTGGACGACGACTGGGGCTTCATGGGGTCACTCGCTGCACTTCCCGAAGGACAATATGGAAGAGACGGTGAAAGCCGAGCGAGATTACGAGGTCATCGACCCGCGAGCGAGGGGCGCTCGTGCCAAGGAGGAGGAGCGGGAGCGCAAGCGTGTTGCAAAAGAGAGGATGGGACGTAGTGGACGTCAGCGGTACTGATGCCTGGATCTGGCGTAACAATCCTGAGGTCATCTGTTGATGTGTACCATGGGGGTACGAGTCCCTCAAAATGCTAGCACCAGGAAGATAATATCCTGACTAGCGCAGTGACGATGAACATCTGCGTACTGCATCCTTCGTAGTTTGCACGTGGACCTGTTTTGAATCTCTGTGAATGCAGTTTCTGCTACTGGCTTCTGGACAGCCTGGGCTAGGGCAATGATCGACTTGAAGGCAACATGTGATTTTAAAACGAAATGCCGAGAGGGGACGGATGTCAATGAGATAGCAACATCCTCTACAGGGCACACAAAAAAGAATGGCATCAACGTGGATTGAACACGTGACCTGTAGATCTTCAGTCTATCGCTCTCCCAGCTGAGCTATGACGCCTTGAAGTTACTCTCATGGCATCTATATCAACTTGCATTGCTTACTCTTCAGCAGTTATGTACCGCCTTATATGTGAAAGGAGCATTTCAACCATTCTGACTGGAAGTCATCTGTCAGCACTGCGCTATCCATATTCCTACAACAACCAGCCAGATTTGCTCTGACTAATCGGCCATGGTAACCACCATCGCGCATAGTGTCTGGCGACTAAAAGAATCTCTTGCAGCGTGGAAAATAGAACGATACTGGTCGGCACTCATCAGTGGCTCATTTCCAGACTTGATTCATATCGTTTACGTACCACTTCTGGGTCGCTTCTGCAATGGCCATTTCCGTAGTGCGATCGATTCCAATGTCTCTGGTGGTCTGCCTCCGAGCCTCTGTGAGTGTAAGCTACCCTCGGTCTAAACCATTCGGCAAGTTCGTGCCTGCCTCTTTCGCTTGTTCTCGGGATACCCGTGACAATCGACCACTGGACTGATTTTAAAGATGGCATCTCTTCGAGTCTTGCAACAGTTGTAGAATTCGGTACATGCTGAGCAGGATTCGATGTAGATGAGAGCATAACAGTCACATTATTCTATTAGTTTGTGTACGTCTGCAATGAGCCCAGGAGCCCGCCCCAACAAAGGCCCTCGGGTTACCGCTACTCTCCGTGTATTGCTGAGGAACAGCTCATCCGCCCCGCCCTCAGCCGTGGGCTCTTCTTGGGGTGTGGCGAGTAGATGTCGGCCCATCAGATTCTGAAGTGCTTTTGGATTCTCCATCACATTCCGCAAACCGGCCGAGAGCAGCTCTGCAATCTCAGGGCTGTCCCCAGATTCAGCTGGTCTGTTCCCTTGGCCATCGCTAGAAGGTCGGTGATGCTGATGTCTTCTTCCTTGCCGCGCTCAGTCTGCCCATCCGCGCTTTCACGTGCAGAAGTCGAGACGCTGCCCTCCGACGGGTCGACCACGACACTTGACTCGTCTTCGTCAAACGATATCATGGTTTTGGATTCAGCCGCTTTTCGCTCGCTCCATTCCGTCGCCTCAAATGCATTTTCGAGCAGCTGCGCCGTGCCAGCAGCCATCCCGCTTTCCACAAATCCTCGACCACATCGTGGGCTGGGCTTGCAGTCTCCTGACTCTTTTCCATCCACCGCGGCTGTCCCAACGCGGGTGCCTGTGGCTCGGGATGCGGGCTCATCGGCTTTTGCTGTTGTGGCGCTGCCGAATTCGGATTCCATCGCGCGGAAAGTCGCCTCCGGATTCTCTTTCATTTTCCTGAACCCGTCTAGCATCATCAGATCGGCCCGACGGCCAACTCGCCGTTCGCCACCTGCAAGGTGGTTTTCATTCTCCACAGTCGGAACATGAATCATGGCGAGACGGACCTGTTCGCAGGACACCTGCGTCCAACCACAGCTCAAACAGCGCCGCTGCCTCGCGGATGGAGATGGTCGACGGGACCCGGATAGCCCGCAGTGCCTTGACAGGAGGAATAGCCTGGACTTTCTTCGCCTGGGCGGGTTCTTCTTCCGTTTGCCATCGTCTACGGGGACGTCGTCCTCGGTGTCGAAGAGGCCCTGCCAGAGACGTCTTCCGATTGTTGACCTTCGGCAACAACCATGTTCTTCCAGATGTTAGCTGGCACCGGCGCGGGTTCCGGCATTGTCACAGTCGGGACCAAATTGTCTCATATACGGGGGGATCGAATGCTAGCCATCCAGACCAGAGATCGGCTGCATGCATCTCGACCTCCGACACATTCGGATCGAGCTCCTTCGGCACTGACGACATCAATGAGCGGGGGAGTGAGAAACGAATAAAGCGCACGCACTGGGGGCTTCGATCGTGTTCTCCAGATAAGACGCAAGCTGTGTGCTCCGTCGGTACCGCACGGAACGCGGGGAAGGTCCGAACTCGGGGGATCTTCTCAGCGAGTCCGCCAGTTGGTCAGACACAGGGAACAGGGGATCTGTGCGTGTCAGCGCGCCCAAGAACATCCCGCGTGCCTGATACTCGTAAGAGCGAAACAATGATGATTCACACTATGGTGCTCACCAAAGGTTTTTCCCGCTGGCGTACTCGAGCAAAAGCCGCGGGACACCGAGATGATGCGGCCGAATCATCTTGTATGCGGATCCGATATAATGTCGGTCCAGCCAACGCCTGGAAGTTGTCGACCGCAATCAGCACGGATACTCCGTCTGTTTCCCCACTCCTCCAGAAGCCTCTCCAGAGCCGCGTGCGCATGTAACCCATCTTCCAGCGACCCGTTCTCTATTAGGGCCGTGAGCGGCTGGCCTTCCCGCACGGTCACCGCCGTTCCCCCATCCGCAGAGAAGGTCGCAGTCGAGCTCATGCGCATATGCGGCAAGAGGTGCGCGTTTGCGCGCCCGATGCGCTGCAGCAGAACCCGTGCGGCGCGTGGCTGGAGATAGGTCTGAGTTGAGAGCGAGTACGAGTACGGCGTGGAGCCGTCGACAAGCGTGCGTGCGCGGGGGACGTAGATGGTGATCCAGGATCGGGATGCCGAGGCGTACTGCGCTGCTTGGAGGAGGAGGAAGGATTTGCCGCTGCCTTCGCGGCCGTTGAGCACCACATGGGCTGGTCGAGTTTTGGACTCCTCGAGCGCGCGCACAAGCGAGAGGGTCGTCGTAGTCGTCACTGAACAGGGGGCACCGAGAATACGGAACTAGAAAGGTTCGCCGCGCTTAGAGGAAGGGAAATGCTGGCAAGCTAGAAAGAGACGCACCTCGAGCAGCATGTGCTTCGGCACTCCGAAGGCACTCATCGGTGCTGTTGGGTCTTTGTCGTCGAATCGCGTCAAGACACCGGTGCCCAGCTCCATAGGGTTCATGAGCGGACGGTCCACCTCCACACGTCCCGGCTCCGTGCTCTCGAACAGCTCATGCCCCAAACTGCTTGCCGGAAGCGCCCGGAAGATCTGTTCACGCCAAGTAAGCAGGGCGTTGCAAGTGCGCTCCAGAGCAAAAGATGGGGACGCCCGACACCCACCGAAGCAGACTTTTCGCGCATCCGTGCGACAGGCCGGCCATCCTTGTCGCGCTCGACGACGCTTTTGCTTGTTCTTGGCGACCTTGTAGCCGAGCTTGTGGTGTATAAGACGTACGGCGCTGGCGTTTCCCGTGCGTGCGAGGGGGACGGCGCGCCCGCGCGAGACGTAGAACATCGCTGAGGGGGAGGATATTTTTTGATGTCGTGATGTGTCTACGAGGTGGCCATCACGCTGAATTGCACGAGTTCGAATCGCACAGGACACTTTTTACACCCTTTTTACTGCATGATACTTAACAGCGCGTCTGAAAGGTTAGAAAACAGATCGAATTTCTCCTTCTTCCAAGGATACGGCGGTCGAGCTCAAATAAATATTCAGAGCTCGCAGAGTCCTGAATCAATCCATGTGAATCTGACTCTCAGGCCCTCGATCGAGGCCCTGCGCAGCTGGGAGGTGTTACGTCAGGCAATCAAATGCTCGGGAGGAGGTACTTTCGGTCATTAAAACGCTAGAAAGCCTGAAGGGGGGCGTTCTGGTCACCGATAGTATGTCGTAATGACCTGTGAACCGTTCTAGTAAGGGCATTCATACAATCCATGCTGCCTCGAGGCCGCGGTGATTTACCAAGGGGGATAATTAGATACTATTGACGTTGATTATCACATGCGTAAAGTAAGATCTAGGCGAAAAAGAAAACACATGGCATTCAACGCCCCTTGTCTTGTCCTCCATCGCCTCCACTCTGACTCGCTCCTCTTCCTCTTTCTCAACGCCCCAACCCGTTCCGCACACGATGGATCTGGAGATGGAAGATGAGAGGTACGCATCGCAGTTCGCGCGCTGGGTGCTATGCGCAGCAGTGGTGGTGGGGGTGCCAGCGCCAGCGCCAGCAGCAGCAGCGGCAGCGGCAGTAGTGCACACAAAGGTGCAGGTATGTTCGACACCCATGCCCCTTCCATCTCAGTCCCCTGAATTTTCAAAGGGGAGGCTGCTGCTCATACATCCAATCGGTCAGCCCAGACTCCCAGCTCGAGCACGAGCACGAGCACGAGCCATACCCCAGCACTATCCCTATCCATGTCCAACCGCTCCATGACGACACTCTCATCACCACCCACGCCTCCGCCGACAATGGAAGAGGACGACGATAGCGGCAGCAAGTACCCTCGTTAGCACGAATGCAGAGCCTGCCCCTTGTTAGTGGTGCACTTAGAGTGTACGAAGCCGGTAAGGCGAACTCTCGGGTTGTGCAGGTGTGCATACGGTTGTTCTGGCGCAAGGATTGCTGACTGAGATTCACCGCAGTAACGTCCGAGCTCGTAAGCTCTTCTCTCCGTCACGCGAGCAGCCGGCTCCCGCTCGGATCTGGAGAACGTATCGATGAATTTGCCGGAGGCGTTCTTGACGGGTACGTAAACGCACTTCTTTCAGCACTGGTCTCCCAGGCCCTGCTTTTATCTCTCTCTCTCTTGCGATCGTTCAGAATATCACGGCGCCATGGGTACTTGTGCAGCTTCCACATGTACTCGGGCTGTAGTGCCAATCTGTCCGTATATCGCTGCCCGTATCTCCCCAATACCGCCTCGCTATTTTCCGCGGTGTCGCTGACGCACGTTCATCGTATTGCAGATCGACAGATACCGCGGTGTGCAACCCCCGTTCCAGCAACCTCACGCCGCGATAAGGGCTCGGACACACCTGAATCACCCGGAGTAGAACGCGCTGGTAATCCGGGTAAGCGGCGATGGGAAGGACCGGAAGAAGGCGGGGACGTACCACCGTGGATGCAAGGTATGTTTAGATAGATATCTTCCCATGCAACAGGGTCACTGACCATTTCACGTCAAGCGACATCCCCATTCGTGCCGGCGCCTCCGCCTCCGCCTGCTCATCGCGACCGACGGAAGATTGATGTCGACAGTACAAATACGAGTCCGACTTCGAGCAACGCGGGGAAGAGAGACAAGTGGCGCGGAGAAGCGGCTGGCAGGCAATGCTGCTAGAAGCTGGTGGATTGAGCGCGGCGCTCAGTGATGAGAGCATGCGGAAGTTGCGATATTGCTTGCAGTGGTTACAGGTCAGTCAGGTCCACTCACCGAGTAAGTACAATCAATCCACTGACTTTCACCCTCTCGACAGTATGCGACACAACACATCGACGCCCAGATCCTCATTCTTCGCGATTTCATCGCTTCATTACCGGGCCACCCATCATCAGCTTCTGGGGCCTGAAGTCACGGCGGAACATCTCCGCACATTGACGCATCTGCGAACGGACATCGTTCACACCGTCCGACAGGTCGTGAGTGTCGTGTCCAAGTACGCCGGGGGAGCTCTCCCTGAACGCGGCCCGCGGCCGCGTGCGCGGATTCATTCTCGATCTGCCCAAGCGATTCAGTGCCGAGGCGCCGAGCGGGGGAGACGCCAGCACAGTAACGGGCGTCAGCCTGACGGGGACGGGGACAGCGGCTCGTCGAGGCGCCCGCCGAGAGCGCGGTTCTGCTGCAGCCGAATCGCCGCGCCCGTCAGTCCCATCGCATCGCGGCCGGGGAGCCCGCACCTGCATATGCGCCCCGCGCATCACCACGCAGGCCATCACCGCCGGGGCGCATCGAACGGCAGCACGGCCGTCGAGGCTGCGCAAGCCCTGACGGCCGCTCAGCGCGTCTGGTGCTTGCGACGGAGAGCCTGGATATGATGCGGGGTGTGACGACTGTCGTCAGCGAGAGCTTGGACCGCGCGGACGCGTGCGTGTTTTTCTCCGTTGTTTCGTTTCGTGTCCCCTCACGACTGACACCTCCGCAGCTGGGTAGACCGATTGCGCACGGTGGGGATCCAGCGCGGCATGGATGGCCTCAACCTCCCGGACCGGCCCGGCTCCGGTGCGACCCCCGCTTGGGATCGATCTGGGACAGCCAGCCCGGGACCATCTTCCGCCGCAAGCCCGGGGGCGTACTCGAGCGCCCCGAGTCCTGGTATCGGACTGGGCGCCATGAGTCTGGTTCGAGGTACTCGACGCCCCCTCCCGAAGACGCGGAAGACGACCCATCTCACTCGCGACGCGGCGGGACCCGCATGGACGTCGACCAGGCCAGTGCGTGAGGCCGAGCAGGACGGACGGACTACTACGCATAATCTCTCACTGATGCCCAAACTTATTTACTTGCTATTGCCACTTGTATTTACCCCTTGTGCACATTCCCTCCAGATACACTATCTCCACCGCTAAATAACATTAACACACGCAGATATCGATATGTAGCGACGATATCTCCCGGAATCTGCGGGGCTCCGCGCCTTCCGCTTGCGGTCTAGCTGACAGACATGTGATAACCGTTCTTGGGGACCCACGTCCCCGCACTGGCATGTGATTGCCCAATTCTTTGGGGTCGATGGATACCGCCGCGGGGCACCGTGCGATGAGATGAACGTGGGAGAGCCGCGTGATCTTGACGAAGATATGACGTACTCGTTACCTTCCTTTTTCGGATGGGAGGTGGTTACCCCCCATTTTCCCTACCAACGAGACTAGAGCCTGATCGGTTCGAGCGATACAGGAATAGGGTGCATACAGTACTGGGTCATCATCTGCCTGTATCCAGAATCGGTTGCGGCCGTCGCTGGTCACTGGCAGTCCGCATAACCAGCCAGAGGGTCAGAAGTGCTCACGTTTCGGGAGTGGGGGTGACAGAGGGGCAGTAAACTCCAACAAAGCCGTCTTCTGAATATTACTTTCAATCTGGGAAGGTGGTGTCCAAGGAATGGCTGAGATGGGTCCGAAAGAGCAGATGGCCCCAGGGACAATGACCCCAGTCGTGCATCGACACTCGGCGCGGGATGCGACTAGCATCTCGCATCTCTCCGTGCTTCAAGCGATCAGTTCCACGATGTAGCGAACGGCATGGGGTCAGTAGGACCTCTGCAGCCTTCGGCTTTGAAAGAGACATATTGTCACTCGTGAGATTTATTCATCGGCGTCATAGCTCAGCTGGGAGAGCGATAGACTGAAGATCTACAGGTCACGTGTTCAATCCACGTTGATGCCATTCTTTTTTTCTCTTCCGTTAGAACCGGAATCGAATCTACCCGTACTTCCGCTGAATGCCAACACTACATCCCTCAAAATAATACTCGAGCTCAAAATGAGAATGAATATTAGATAGTTGGCAAGCTTGTCAGTAGGTAAGCGGTCCACTCTGCACCGTAATGATGGAATATGAACAATCTGCGAAATCCGTCCCTTGTGCTGTGCCCCTCATCAGACCTGCATCCCATCGAACGACCCAGCCAACCCTGCCACCCCGCCCTTCGGCCCACCGAGACTCTGCGCCGATTTTTTCGGGAGGACCCACGACGGCGTGCTGGGTCCCGCCGCCGCCGGAGCCGGTGTCAGGGTCGGTTCGGGGACAGTGTAGTCGTGGGCGGCGAAGTGGGCTGTGCAAACACCGGAGAGTTCATCGCCGAGCCCGACCCACCGGCAGCGGCAGAGGAGGATTCGCCACTGCCGCTGCCGCTGCCGATAAATCCTGGATCACTCAGGCTGTAGCCTGGTACTTGCCCAGCGCGTGCGCAAGCTCGCTCGCTGGTTGCGGCTGGGCTGCGGCGTAGGACACAGGCCGGGCTTGGGCTTGGACTTGGTCCTGGGCGGGGAACGACGCGTACGGGTCCGGGAGGTATGGAATGGGGTCCTCGGCGGGCTCGGGTTCGAGCTTGGGGGCACTCATTTGGCGTTGCGGCTGAGGGTGGGGCTCAGCTTGTGCCTGCGGTTGGGCACTACTGGGCGGATTGAGCTTCTTGAACTTGCTGCTGCGCCTGGGGCTGGGCTTGAGCTTGAGCCTGGGTTGGTTCTGAGCCTGAACCTGGAGGGGCTGCACCGGTGGTGCCGTCTCCGGGCCAGTCACTCCGGCACGCTCACGAAATACACGCTCCCCGCCAGATCTTTCCCACCAGCAGCATAGTATTGCGCCCATGCTTGCACATTCGGGTCATAGGTCGTGCGGGTCGTACACATACGGCGGGCCAGCTTGCGCTTGCTGGGGCTGCACCTGAGTCTGTGTCTGCTGTGGCTGGGCTGCTGCGTTTGCTGTGGCTGGGCCTGAGGCTGAGACTGTTGCGACTGTGCAAGTGCTTGGACCGATTGCTGCTGCTGCTGCTGAGTTTCTTGAGGCTGAGGCGAGACTGAGGCTGAGGCTGAGATTGCACGGCTGCTCAGGATACACCGACGCCAAAACACCCTGTGCAGTGTACGGAGATATTGTTTGCGGGTGAGCCTGGGGCTGCGGCTGTGGCTGGGTCTGTTGTGGCTGAGGCTGAGGCTGAGGCTGAGCAGCAGGATACGTCGATGGCTGTGCTTGGGATTGCAACTGGGCTTGAGCAGGATACGCAGACGACGAGGTGGGCGATTGGGCCTGAGCGGCAGGCGTCATCACCGGCTGCTGCTGCTGCTGCGGCTGGCTCTGGTAAACGGGTGTCTGAGCTGATGCTGCGACTGCTGTTGTTGCTGGGCGGGATATCCCGACGGCTGAGTCTGCGGCTGAGTCTGCGGCTGCTTCTGCAACGGATATGCCGACACTTGAGGCTGCACAGGCGTCGCCGCCTGGCCTTGTCCGGCATACGGCGATGGCTGCTGGCTACATCTGCGACGGATATCCTTGCGCCGCTTGAGGATATCCTGCGGCTGGGGCGACGGATACGACTGTTGCTGCTGCTGCTGCTGTGGTGCTGTTGATACGGTCCCGGCGTCCCAGCCTGTGGAAAGTATCCATAGGGTTGTTGTTGTGTGGCTGCTGCTGCTGAGCGTACGGAGAAGGAGCACCCGCGAAGCCAGAATGCCGCGCGAGGCTATCTTCCATCATCCGATCAAAGATCGTCCGTGCGCGCACAAAACGTCTCGTTCATCGAAACAAGGTCCGCTGCATCAATCTCAGTCTCGATCCGAGGAGCAAAGTGGAAGAACCGCACCCCGTTTCTGGCTGTACTTGTCAATCAACTTGACAATCTTCGGCCGCAGCGCCATACAGCTCCGATACAGCTCCTGCAGCTCCTCGTCGTCCGCCAGATTGTCGCCCTTGCTCGGATCCAGGGCCCTGAGCATGTTCAGCAGTTTCTCCACATTCACCGCCTGCGCAAACACGGGCTTCGGCTGCAGCTTCTGACGCCAGCTCGGAGGGCGTCGGTTCGGGTAGCGCTTCGACGTAATTAACGGGGAAGATGCCCGTGCGGCCCTTGAGCTGTCCGCGCCACCAATCACGGTAGCCCCGATCCACGACCTTGATGATGTCGCCCTTTTCGAACGGCAGCTCCCCCGGCTCCGTGGGCGCGAACGGGTGCAGCGCCCGGACGCGCGTGACAATGCTGCTCGGTCAGTGAGCGAGGGAGTCGTCGACGTCGCCGTTGGCGTGGCCGTTGCCGTCGTCGCGGTCGCTGTCGTCGCTGTCGAGGCGGCCGCTGGCGCACACTATGGCAGTAGCAGTTGGGCTGATGGAGGCGGGTAGAATTTGACGCCGAAGCTGCGGAATACCCCGTCGCCGCCGCAGCCGCCGAATATCCAGCTGCAGCCGAGTATCCCGACCCTGGCCCTGGGCTAGAACCGTAGCCGTTGACGGCACTCGACGATGCCCCGCTTCCGCTGGCGCCTGCACCCGTGTTCGTGTTGTTGCTTGTGTTCGCATTGCTGCTGCTGCCCCACTGCCGGCCGCGCGCGTCGTTCATGCTCAGCTCGAGCACCCGCTGGAGCTCCTCCTCCTCGCGCCGCCGCACGGCGTCGTCGACCGCAGGAGGCGGCGCCGTCTCGGGCTCCACATACCGGTAATCTGAGTTCCGTCAGCGCAGTCGGCAGGCATATCGAGCACTTCGATAAACGCACTCTTCGCTTTGAGATTCTCGTAGCATTCCTGCATGATTCCCAGCGTGCTGTCGTGCGCGAACTCTTCTGCCCACTGTGCGACGAGCTGCAGCGCGCGGGTGCGGACTTCTCGTGTGTATTCTGCGAGCCAGTGAGCGAATCAATGGAGTGAGAAAGGCAGCTATCGCCTCACCCGATCAGTGACGACGCGCTCGAGCCCAGCCGTCCACGCCCGCCCGGCAAGCTCGCGCCAGACCTCAATCCCGCAGTTCTTCTGGAGCGCCTCGGCGGCGAGCGCGAGCGTGTAGAGCTGCACGTTGGGGGTCCGGTGCGTCAGGCGCTTGAGGAGGGAGGCGGCGATGACGAGCTGCGCGCCGGTCGAGGGCGGGGATGCGGAGGAGACGGTGTCGCAGAGCGAGAGGATGAGGTCCCAGGGCTCTGAGGTCAGCGTCTCGGCCGTTGCGTTGGCTGCGTGGGTTTTTTGTTAGATAGGCAAATGCATTGGAGCGGGGCAAGAGAGGGAGCAGGAATGGAGTGAGGGGAGTCAGGATGGAGAGCAGGATGAGAGAGGGCGGAGAACGAGTGACTGCTGCAGCGATGACCACTCACTGACGGTCTCATCGTATGGATTCGTCGCGGCGCCCCCAAACATGGCAACAGTCGAAGTAGTTAGAGAGATGGGTAGCCGAAGGGATAGTTTTGGTACAAGCAATCAGAGTGGGTGATATGCCCAATGGACCCTTCGACTCCCACTGATGGATACAGATGAGGGATACAGACGAGGCTCGCTGCGCCGGATCGGCTCGATTCCGAGGCTGTGGACGTCACAATCGTCACATCGTCACTCTTGACCCACACGGCGGTTGCCAATCCACTCTCATCTCACATCCACATCCATCCACAATCCAATGGCCAAGGGTATGTCAGCTTTTCGAGTTACCATCGCGCGCGTCTGCGCTTTTCTAGTAGTAGCCTCGCGCCGCGTCCTCTCTTGGATCTCAACGCAAAGACTGATGGCTGACTGCACGATCTACAGTCCCACGCAACTTCCGCCTGCTGGAGGAGCTCGAGAAGGGCGAGAAAGGCATCGGCGAGGGTCGTGTTCGTATGGGCTCGAGGATGGCGACGACATCATGATGAGCCACTGGAACGGGACGATCATCGGTCCGGGGCATGTGCGTTCTGTGCTGTACCGCGCGAGGCGCTGTCGAACCGCCGCTGACCCTGACCTCCTTCTCCCGCTGCCCGCCAACAGACGGTGCACGAGAACCGCATCTACTCCCTCAAGATCACGTGTGGCGAGAGCTATCCGGAGGCGCCGCCGACCGTGCAGGTGTGTGTGTTGTCCCGCTGCTTGTCTTCGATCGTGTACGAACTTCGAAGCTGATTCGCGCGCGCCAGTTCCTCTCCCGCGTGAACCTGCCCTTCGTCTCGCAGACCGACGGTGTCGTGAACCCGCACAGCTCCCCGTGCTCGCGTACTGGAACCGCAACGGGAGCATAGAGACGGTCTTGGTCGAGATCCGGAGGTGAGCTATCACTCTCGTCTGCCTTGTCCGTTATATTGTATTGTCATATGTCCCTCCACCTCGATGCTGTCTCCGAGTATGTGACTGACCCTCGTCATCACGCAGGGAAATGGCCTCTCCCGCGAACCGCAAGCTTCCCCAGCCACCCGAGGGAAGCATGTTCTAGAGAGTCTGAGGATTCTTTGGGACCTGAGGATGAATGTACGAAACCCATGTATGAGTAATACGAATCCGACACTTGGGGGCAATTTGCCTACTTGATCGCCTTCAGCCGTCTTCTTGATAACATAGGCACGAGTCATAAACTTGATGGTGAAGCACATGCATTCATTCAGCGGACTGCATTATTAACGCCCCTTGAAATCCGTTTTCTTTACTTGTGACTTTCATTGGTGCAACTGGAAAGGGTCCTCGCTCGTCTTTTTCTAGAGACCTGATATAGGATCACTGTCGATGGAAGTGACATCAAATGCTACAGTATTCAACATTTGGACTTGTGATGATGTTCTCCCCAAGCTGCCGCACGTGAAATCGACGACGGTCATTTTATCTTGGCGGCTTGATATCCTTGGGTAGAGCGCGATGGGGTTTGATATCGCGAAAAAAAAACATTGACAGGCAACGATGTATTATATACGTATGAGTCTCTATCGCCCTGCCTTTCCTTCGACGAATTGATCTACAGAACAAGTTCAGCTCTCGCTGCATCTCGAAACTGAACATGGGGCTTATCGATAATCAGTGCACATGCGCGATTATTGTGATCGACTCGGGTGTTCCGCCTGGCTTCAGCCGAAGGCAGAAAGCGGCCGTCGTCCTTGATTCGGCAAGACATCACAGGTAATGGTCGAGTGCAGAGGGGGATGATGGCCAGCACCCCTCGAAACAAACCCAAGCAAGTCATCAATGTCAACCGCGGCAGGAAAATGAGTCCAAAACTGTACGACCTGCGCTTGACGGTTCGAAAAATCGGCTTGACTTTGCACCGTTGTTACATTCCATTGATACTATTCGGACGTAGGGGTGAGCCTTTCTAAAACCAAATTTGTGCAATATCGGGCGGAGGCGCAGTCAAATTGCCCCCCCCATATATTCTAACGAAATTCAGGTTGTTCAGCTCTCCGTCCGAGGGACTGAAAACGTTCAATCTGCTGTGCCAATGACGGGACTGTAAGACAAGGGTGAATGCTTTCAGAGCAGAGGTTAAGTATTCTGTTCGTCGTGTAAAGTTCGGAATTGACGACGTGGAAATAATTCCTCAAACACGGCCGCCTTAAAGGGCCCATTCTAGACAGATTTTACTGTGGCTGGACTCTTTGATTTCGAGGTGAAAAAAATCACTTGTCATAGAAAACAGGGATAACTTGACTCCAGGAAATAGGACGCACATGCGGACACTACCTTATTTCTAACATGGTCGTTCGACCAGATCCAACTCGGTCGCACTCGTCACTTATTTCGGGGATTATCACGTGTGCCGTTCAGACCCTGCTCAAACAGCGTGGGACGACGTCAAGAGTGATTTCTCGCCTCGAGGACAACAGAAATATCAGAATTCTGACAGCAGAAGCATTTGGGCATTGTTCTCTACTGGGACTACAACAGCCCTACAACGCGCATTCTCACATTCTGTCGTTGTTCGCTCATCTAGCAGCGCTTCTGCTCTTCAAGGGGTAGGGAAGAAACAAACAAACGATGTGAAAGCTTTCGTGGGTGATACAACACAGTGTTGAACCACAGCACACAGCACATCATCAGAGCAAATTGTGATCGGATCAAGCTCTGGTTCCTCTGAAGGCTGCCAACAACATCTCGCTTCGCTTGTCGGTGACAATCCCAGCGGGAAATTGGGTGACGAATATGTCCCCCTTAAACGTGTTCCGAGACCAACCCGGCGGCAGAAATCGTCGTACGCGATCCAACCGTCAGGTGTAGGTCCACGTCTTAGTATGGAACAATAGACCTCTTGTTCTCGTGACAGGGTATCAGCGATCGAGCCCCGGGTGCGAACACTCTCGTATAACTAGTCAGGTATGTGCGTCGTCACCATCTCTGGACGCCACGACTCGATTTTCGTGTTGTTTTGCGGTCGTGTCTCAACGCCCTTCTCTCGTTATTCCCAAACGGCCTGTTCTGAGATGCGGTGAGGATTATTGTCTTGTCTCAGTTGTGGGCGCTCATTTATGGTCCCCAGATTCGTTTCCTTTCTCCACTTTTCGTTGTTCCCCTAGTTCTCTTCCGATCAGTGTGGTCTCAAACCACCTTCCATTCCATCCCCGGTAATGGTTTGAATGGATTTTTTCTAAGGTTCGTCGATGTGGTTTACAAAATATATGTTGCTGAAACATAACAGCCCGCCTTCGACGACTGATATCAGCACCACCACTATCCTTGCGACTGTTACAATCGCTCCATCTACACACCGTGGGTTAAGCATCTTGCTGTTCAAACGGCACTCTAACTTAGTCCTCAGAATGCCCTGTACCGCTCTCCAGACTCCTAGCCCCAGCTCAAGTTATGCGACCCTGTCGTGAGTACGCTCGATTGCCGCCTGTACCAAAGCCAATTCATGTCCTTGTAGATCGCAGTCAACATCCCTCGCTGAGAACATTCGTGAGTTTCAGACCACTCCGCGGAAGCGCCGCTTGGAGCTCATCCTCGGTCTCCGCCTTCGGCATCTCTTCTTTCGGCGTTTTTTTTGGGCCGTGTATTTTCTCGGCTGAGAGCGCCAGAGCTGTTGCGACGGAACTCGACTTTCGTTATCGATCCGGAACTCGGAGCGCCGACAACAAAATTCGATCACCTGAAAATCACCTCTGGTCTACCGAATTCGGCGGCTGAACATACAAACATGGACGCTCTCGTCCTTTACAGGCGCAAAGTCGCCTCAGCTCCAGATTCAGAACCGCACTCTGAAAGAGAGCATGAGTTGCTCAAGCAGACGCTTCAGACGGTGCAGAGAGTTTGCGTGCTGAATTTGGCGGGGGCATCGGGCTTGATGACTTTCTCGAAGGGAGTTGGGTATCCTTGCGGAGCACCGACGCGAAGCGTGATGCGCTCAGCCTCGCGAATTTGGACGCTGACACGGAAGACCAAGATGCACCTCCGAGTACAAGGCCAGACAAAGCATTCCTGCCGCTCCATCTTGAAAAAGTCGAAATCTCACCTGTCTCGAGGGCCACTAAAGCTCCGTGGTATATTCGGCTTTCCAATTTCTGTCTGGGAATTTTATATTATCTTTGCTGTGCTTTTTGCATTGCCATAATAGATATATGACCCATCGTGATTCAATTCTATAGGGCGCACCTCCCACATGTATCAATACTTGCTGTCAATTGAATACGTCCAAAAGCGCCCCATGTTTCGTTCTTGCGCTGATCGGTGTCATGGCGGAGTTGGATGGAGAGCGGGGTTTGATTTTCCTGTGATCTAGTGCAGATTCCCCATAGACAATCAATCCTTCCCATTCTCATCCTTCTGAAATTCGCGCGCTCTTCCCCGCCCAGAGACGTGCAAGACGCGTCGCGGCACTATCCATCCTTGTTTCCAACCCGACCTGCCAAGGAAACGTCCCCGACGGCCCGACTTGCCTTCCTCTATTTCGATTGGCTCGTTCGAAATACTTCCGCCATCCGCCTCCATTCCTATCATTTCACCCCATGCACAGCCCTCTTTTGCACCAAGTGTCCCGCTGCGGGACTCGCTGGCCCGCGTAGCCCAATACGGCCCTCCTCGCGCAGTGCGGTCAGACTGCATACAGCCTACACCCCCGTGCCCCAGTGGGCGCGATCCCGCTGTCCAGTTCATGGGCTCCGTGCAGGGAGCGGCACTCTTTTGGCCTCGACTCTGCTCGATATCCCTCGTCCTCCTCC